TTTATGAGATTCCCCCCAGCGCGGGGCCAAGGTCTCCCATGTGGCCGAAATATCTGGTCGACTAATGGGAGGCTGCCAGGTGGAAGATCTAACGCGTGATCTTTGACCTGGTCCAACTGTCAAGCGTGTGAGAGGGATGTCCCCAACAACTATATGTTCCAACGGTCATATTGTGTCCAACGACTATATTGTGCCCAACAGTCATATTGTGCCCAACGACTATATTGTGTCCAATGGCTAGATTGTCTTAATCTCCTTATTAGGTATGGTCTTAAGCTAAACTGGATTGAGTCTTTCCCAACTGTAGGACATGTGCCAGTCCAGTCCAGAACACTCTCAAAAAGTGATTGAAACATTCATATCATCACAATTAAGCGATGAGAATAAAGACTATTACTTAGCACCATTTATTGATCATCCATGAGTAATTTTGAAATCACATTTTCTCTATTATAGTTAATTTTCATGTTTTACCAAATACTAGTTATGCTTTCATTCAGTGGTCATTGTCAATTGATCATCATATTTTTTCGTACGGATATGGAAATTACGTTATGTTCCTTAGGCAAACCGCTTATTAAACTAAAGATGAAACGTCTTCTTACTACGTACATTATATTTATGAGGTTTTTTTTAATCTTTTCTGAATTTTTAATTAGCTAAGCATATAATATGTTTAAATCCTTTTCAATATACAGAGTTGTGGAGCGACACCATATGCTGAAAGGAGTTAGAAATAAAAAGTATGCGTTTTATACGTCTTCGATAAGTGGATTACCTGTGACATTTGTTTATCTATAGTTACATGTGTGTTTATATATATTCATGCAATGCTTAAATTTGTAGACGAGAAAACAGGAAGGAGGATACACATGTGATTTTTTTGGTCATGAAACATATGTAAACATTGTCTCTGCCGACATTGTTGATTTTTGGGATCGAGTGTATATATTTAGAATATCGTATTAATATTTATGTTTGCTATTATTTCAAATCATGTGATCTTCAATTTCCTTCTATTTTTTACATAGATGTTTAACGACACTATGTCATTCTCACAAGAAGACTTTAAAGACATTCGTACACGTTGGACATCTTACTTCAATGCGCTTTATAGGTCAGGGGATCACATTCAGTTTGTAATATATGCTTGTAATATTTTTAGGTTTGATGTAAATAATATTTAGGTTTGAACAATATTTTGGTAGTATATTAAAGGCATATTTTGGTTAAAAAAATATGTGTATTTGTTGGTTCTGTTGTGGTAAAACATATAACCAAGCACTTGAGCTCGAGTGGTAAATGAGCTCTTGCTAAGGAACAAAGGTCCGGGAAATATCGAATTCGATTTCTGATAGAAACAATGTTCGGTCATATTTATGATCTTTTAGGTTGAACTTTATATTATATATATATGGGTCGGCCCAACACGTATTTTATTTCAATTGATATAAATAATTATTTTATGATCTCTCATCGCTTATATATTAGTTATTTTATGATATAAAATCATTACATTATTATAATCAATTTCATTTAATATTTTATTTCAATTGATAATAAAATTAACTCATCTAAATACTCTTCTTATTATTTAAAAAAAATTATAATTAAAAAACAATGACAAAATTATAAAAAAAATCAGATATTAAATTTCTATTATATTAAAGAAGTTAAAAACTTATCATCTATATATATATATATATATATATATATATATATATATATATATATATATATATATATATATATATATATATATATATATATATATATATATATATATATATATATATATATATATATATATATATATAATTTTGAAATTAACAAACCAAATAATACATATTATAATATTATAAATGGTTGTTATTATTATAAATTTTAAATACATGTTATATAATATAATTTAAAAATTTATTTAAAAAAAATTAATTAATTAAAATCATATTAAAAAAATAAAAAAAATAAAAAAAATAAAACTCTATGCAATAGTTTTGGTGATCTACTCCTAAAACCTGTCACATATATATATATATATATATATATATATATATATATATATATATATATATATATATATATATATATATATATATATATATATATATATATATATATATATATATATATATATATATATATATATATATATATATATATATATATATATATATATATATATATATATATATATATATATATATATATATATATATATATATATATATATATATATATATATATATATATATATATATATATATATATATATATATATATATATATATATATATATATATATATATATATATATATATAATGCATGTTTAAATATATATTTTCGTAGTAGTGCATGTTTAACTATCTAACTTCCGTATTAAATTGTATATTATTCTTTGTTTAACATGTATATTCAATTAATATAATCAATTCTAGCAACCTATCTTCCAACACAAATAGAACTATCTGACCTATCAACTGCAACAAGTCATCCACCACCTGTCCTCCAAGTGAAACCCCACACCTACCAAATTGACTCTTATTACCAGAATTATCAATGCTTATAGTCTTGTTTTGTTGGTTTGAAATTAAGAAAAACTGAGAAATTCACTACTCAAATGAATCTCCCATGGTGATATCTAACTGCTCTTTCTCATAAAAAAGTGTTTTATTGTAGTATGTCATTTTCCTACGTTTCAAAAATATTTAGTATTCGTGTGTGACCATAGTTGAAATGTCACTTCTATTGTTTGATGCCTTTGCATTTCACTAGTCTTTTATCTCAAACTAAATTATAAAAAAAAGGGTAACTAATTCTTTTTTAATAAAAGAAACAAACTTTCCAACCAATAAAATACTGCATGACAATCACAAGAAAGAAAGTATCAATCAAGTAGTGTATGTTGTAGGGTTTAGAAAAGAATCCACCAATCCACCATCGAAAATCGTATCTTGCATAATAATTTATGAAAATTGAAGGCATAAACATGTGATGATAGACATGTGAGATCCTATGTGATGGCATCATGAAGCAAGAGTCGCAACAACAAGGGACAACAATCACATGGAATTAAATTAATAAATAAAGAAATGCTATTTCCTTCAAATGCACAACTTTATTCTTTATTATTAATATCTCATATATTCCCTTTATGTAAACTCGTAGCCGTCCTTTTTTCTAAGTCTATTTCAAGTTTCCTTCTATATATACTCCACAGGTCCACTCCTGTCCGCACTACACTTGATTCTTCAATTCATCTTTACTACTATTTCATTATAACGTTAATTAATAAAAAACTCTTAAATTATTTATGTTTAAGTTCAAATTTAAGAAGGTAACTAAAATTATTTAAAGTGTTGTTTTCCATGTTTGGAAAGCGATACATAAAAGAGTGGCATTTTATAAAACAAGTGAGCATTACTCAAAAAGTAATATTCATTAAATTATTAGAAATGGTCAAGGTACAAAGTTCTACAAAGATTAATGATATTAAATTGCAGTAGTTTGAAGAGCAATTTTAGTAACATAACTCCTATATCTATAATGCCTATCTAGACCCTAACAATATCCATAATGATCATTGTTTAAAGTTTTTTCGAAATGAAAAGTTTAAACTTACATATAAAACTCCTCACTTATGAGGAAGAATGTCGAAAAGGCATGATTGTTGACAATTTATGTCATATATGTAATTTTGCCTAAGAATCAATCATGCATGTTGTCATGTTGTTTGAGATTGTGATGATTTGAAACCTTTCTAAGATAACATCATAAAATTGATTATTGGAACAAGTTTTTTTAGTTTAAGTACTCTTGCATGGCTATAAAGAAATCTATCATTCAACAATTTGGGTAACACTGTTTAGCTATGGAATCTCATATTTTTAAAGTTGTTGTCAATTATATTTGGAAAGACCATGATTCTCTCATATTTTCGCAGTAGATATGTGTCATATTCTTTAATCTAGAGTCTTGAATCAAGTTGAGAAAATTCATAGTTCTCATGGCAATACATAAAGATTAGAGATAACAACACTACTTAAGTCATCCATTGAGATTTTCAAAATGTGCGTTAATGGTGGTTACTTTTTTCCGAATGGTTAGTCATAATAGTGATCTTTAATAAAGTTTGATGTCTTAGGAGGAGTCTTTATTTTACTATGATATTGGTGCGAAAGATATTATTTTTCAGAAACAATTTCACTCTCTCTACAATATGACTAGTGAACTTGATACAATTTCACTCCTGTAATTCTATTTTTCAATGATATATCAGCTACATAGCAAAAATTAAGATAATATGATTTGTATTTTTCTTCAGAGATACAAATAAAGAGATGAATAAATATGTACAATGGAGTCATAATCTCTTTTTACTATTTAGATTATTGATATTTCAACCCCCAACATTTAAGTTAATATAGTTAAGCCTTTTTTATAAAATAAGATATTTAAAAAATAAAAATATTTGATTAAAATTAAAAAAAATTAAAAAATTGATTAAAATAATTAATTTACATATCTAAATAAATATTCATTTACAAATTCATAGATTTGATTATATTTAAAATCTTTTTGTTTTTGAAAAAAATATGTAGACCAATATTAAATAACTTCTTAAATATATATATAATATGACATTGAATGTGATTTTTTTATTAAACGAGTTCTCATTATTTTTCTTTACACAACTTATTAAAATTAATTAGATTTAAATATATAGAATAATAAAACCTAATAAATAACGACCTTGATCTATGGCGTATATAAAATCGTCACATAAAAACCAGACAAACCGCCGACCTTTCACATTGGCGGTTTATGCATGCATGTGCACTGCTAATGTGGGCCCATGACACGTGCCCTTTGCTTTTTGGGCTATAGCCTATGGGCCTTGACCTCACAAATCTCTATATATTCACTTCATCAATCTCACTAAATTCTCAATTAAAGTAACCAATTCACCATTTGATCAATTTTCACCAATTCTCCTATTATGGCTTCTTCAACTCAATTTTCTACCACTTTGATAGCCCTAATTCTGCTTCATTACCTAATAGGTAACCATTCATACAACATAGTTTTTTTTCTTTCCTTAATACTAATATGTTTGCTGTGTCTTACGTTGTTTTTTTTTTAACACGTTATTATTACTATTACAGGTTCATATTCAACGACGTTCACAATCGTTAACAAGTGCAGTTACACAGTTTGGCCAGGAATTTTATCCGGCGCCGGAACATCACCGTTCTCCACCACCGGTTTTGCTCTTCAACCAGGTGAAACCAATTCTCTCGCCGTACCACCTTCATGGTCCGGCCGCCTCTGGGGACGAACCCTCTGCTCACAAGATTCCACTGGGAAATTCTCATGCAAAACTGGAGATTGTGATTCCTCCACCATCGAATGTGCAGGCAAAAACGCCATACCTCCTGCTTCCTTAGCGGAGTTCACTCTCAACGGCGCCGGAGGACTTGATTTCTTCGACGTCAGTCTCGTCGACGGTTACAACCTCCCTATACTAATCGAACCACATGGACAAACCGCTGGAGGAAACTGCACGGCGACGGGTTGTTCTGTCGACTTAAACGCGGCCTGTCCAACAGAACTGAAAGTGATGAGTAGTGACGGCGGTGTAGAGAGCGTGGCGTGTAGAAGCGCGTGTGAAGCTTTTGGGGATCCACAATATTGCTGTAGTGGCGCCTACGGTTCGCCAGATACATGTAAACCAAGCTCCTACTCGCAGTTTTTCAAGAGCGCGTGTCCACGCGCTTATAGTTATGCTTATGACGATGGATCTAGCACTTTCACGTGTGCCTCTGCAGATTATACCATCACTTTTTGCCCAACACTTTCCACAGGGTAATTTTTTTTTAGACATTTTTCAAAAATATTAATGATTAAAATTCCAATTCTTAGTTGTCAAAACGTGTTTTCCAATAGGAATATTGCAATCGAATTTTTATGACTTTTTTAAATTAATCATTGAGATTAAGAAATTTAATTTTAGTTTTGTTTATATATGCACCGTCCCTATCAATAATAGTAAAACATTCCGTGTATGATATGGTTTTGGTTAGCTAGATATTTTTTGTGTGTTGAAATTTGAGTGCAACATTTTGAAAAATCTTGTTTGAATGTGAATGCAGTTCAATCAAATCTGGGGACGAGAAATATCCAATACCGGCGGGCGATGTGTCTGGTGTCCAACGCGTAGATAAGAGAATCAACAACATAGTGACTATTGTTGTTGCGTTTGTTTTGATGGTCTTGGTGGTTGACCGGTTGTGGTAGCAAGTAACTCAATTTGTGGTTCTATTCTAATGTCATCACACATCATCATGGCTGGTGAGAAATTTGGTGTGGTGTGACTTTCTGTCACAAAATTGCTTAATCAACTTGAATTCATCAGAATGTGAGAGTTTGGTTACTAGCAACTTGGTATTTCAGAGATTGGAACTTCTCAACCTTAACAATCAAAAATTATTTTTTTAGATTTTTTTTCTATTTATTAGCAATTTTAATTAGTTATATCTCTAGGAATTTAACTAGAAACAGAATTAGGCGGGTAGCATGGTTACATCAGCTCCCAAGATTCTTGTCATTCATATGTTGTCCTCTATCTGAAGTGACAAATTGAGATATTTTAGGAAATTTATTAAATATATCAATAGGATGAATTTGTCTCCAATTGTAACTATGAATTAAAATAAAGGAGAAGGATAGTTTTTGTTAGCTGTGCCTGTTATTTTATTTAAATATTTGAGTTGTTTTATTTGGCTTCGGTTACTTTTCATAAGTTGAACTGTACTTGAGATAGAAAACGTTTTTGTAAGAATTGAATTCGCTGCTCCTCATTGATATTTTTTGTCCTAATATACAAGTGCGAATATCTCTATATTTGGAAGCTAATAATATACAGTTATTATTATACTATTATAACGATATTCTAATAACATACAATTATGATTATACTAATTATAGATATATTCTAATACTCCCCCGTAGTTGAAGCGGGAGGTGGACGGACGCTGGGACTTTCTCTGAAGTCTTGAAAGAGTATAAGGGGAAGTCTTTTGGTGAAGATGTTTGCAATTTGATGTTTGAAGGGTACATGGAGAACCTGGACTTGACCCCGAGCGACCTTTTCACGAACGAAATGAATGTCCATGTCAATGTGTTTCGTTCGTTGATGGTGACCACGTTGGCTACACCACAGTATTTTGCCTCGGCGCTGGAACGTGAGAGTGTAGGTTGTCTTTAGATGACCATGAAAGTAAATTATCCCCAAGGAACACGCAGTAGCTAGAAGTGGAACGTCGAGTGTCAGGACAACCACCCCAATCTGCATCTGTATTGGATATTAATGAAGTTGTAGATGAGGGATATAGATGTAAGTCGTAGTGTTTTGTGCCCTTAATGTAGCGTAATATCCGACGTAGAGCATGCATATGGGTGTCCATCGGCTTATGCATAAAAAGACAAATTTGTTGTACTGCATAGGAGATATCAGGTCGTGTGAAGGTAAGATACTGAAGGGCACCTGCAAGACTACAATAGAGGGATGAATCCTCGTATGGGACATTATGTGTGGCACTCATTTTTGGTTTTGTATCAACTGGAGTTGGACAAGTTTTGCAGGAAGACATTCTTGCCCGTGAGAGGATGTTTTCAGCATATTTCTTTTGTGAGAGGAATAGGCCATGCTTATGGCGAGTGACAGCAATACCCAAGAAGCAGTTGAGATGCCCTAAGTCTTTCATAGCAAACTCGAAGCTGAGGAGAGATATGATGGACTGCCGCAAAATATCAGATGATGTGGTGAGGATGATGTCATCTACATAAAGTAAGAGATATGCTAGATGAGAGTCTTTCTTGTAGATGAATAGAGATGGATCGCTTTTGCTTTGATAGAAACCAATCGATGAAGCATAGTCGGCGAACCTCTGGTACCAAGCTCTAGGGGCTTGTTTAAGCCCATATAGAGATTTGCGTAGACGACATACATGATCAGGATGTTTGGAGTCTCGGAATCCTAATGGTTGGTACATATACACTGTTTCTTTGAGTTTACCATGGAGAAATGCATTCTTGACATCCAACTGATGAATATTCCAAGATTTTGAAATGGCAAGGCTGACAACAATGTGAATGGTAGCCGGTTTGACAACGGGGCTGAAGGTTTCTCCACAATCAATGCCAACCTGTTGACCTACACCATCACCTACAAGTTGGGTTTTATGCCTCTCAAATGAACCGTCAGATTTTTCTTTGTGTCTAAAAATCCATATAGATCGAATAACATTAACATCAGGTGGTCGTGGCATTAAATCCCACGTCTCATTTTTAATTAAAGCATTATATTCATCATGCATGGCCATTTTCCAATTAGGGTCCTTGAGTGCAGACACCGGATTTCTAGGGAGAGGGGATTTTGTGACATGAGTGTGGAGACCTTAATATTTTTGGTTTGGCTTAAAGATGCCGTGTTGACTTCTAGTGGTGGGTTTTGTATTGGCTTGGGAGGTAGGTTGGTAGATGGGAGGAAGATTATGTGGCAGAGTATGATTTGATTGTGTTGGGAGAGGTGATAAGTGTAAGGTTGAGGTTGGATTTGATTGGGGTGTATTCGACAAGGTTTGGGTGTGGGCCGAAGTATGGGAAGTAGTTTGAGTGGGAGAGGAGATCGGTGGATTGGATGTAGAGTTGTTTTGGTCTTGGGTTATAATATGGTTGATGAGGTAAGGGGATAAGTCATTGTCTAGGAAGGTGTAAGTGGTAGATTGAGGGGTGTGCAACTTTGCATATGAGAAGGTAGACTCATCAAATAATACATGACGACAAATGATAATTTTGTTTGTGGTCATATCTAGACACTTATAACCACGATGGTTGGACGGATACCCAAGAAAGATGCACGGTATGGAGCATGGTTGAAGTTTGTGGATGGTACTTGAGGGAAAGAGAGGAAACATAGACAACCAAAGACACGCAGATGAGAGTAGGATGGGTTCTTGTTGTATAACATGTGGAGAGGTGACCAAAACTTAATTGGTTTACTGGGCAAAATGTTGGAAATATATGTGGCCATTTCTAGAGCATAATGCCAAAATGAAGGTGGTAGGGATGCATGAATTAATAAAGTTCGAATAATGTTATTAATGGACCGTATTTTTCGCTTGGCTTTACCGTTTTGAGAGGAAGTGTAAGGACAAGAGAGACGAAATGATATTCCATTAAGTTCACACATTTGTTGAAAATTCTTAGAAATGTATTCGCCACCATTATCACATTGAATAGTTTTGATTTCCCGTTGAAATTGAGTTTTGATATAAGCTCTTAATTTTTGAAAGATGGAATAAACTTGAGATTTATGAGACATTGGGAATGTCCACAAAAAATTCGAATAGTTATCCAGAAATAAAACATAATATTTGTGACCTATTGAGCTTAACACGGGAGATGTCCAAACATCACTATGTAGAATGTCAAATGGCAACGAACTATTATTAAGAGAATTTTTGAAAGGCAATTTGATATGTTTACCAATAGGGCATGAATTACAAAAATGAGAATGTAATTTACTAGGTGTATTACATTCAATCAACTTATTTTTGCTAAGAAAAGACAAAACATGTTCGCCCGGGTGTCCCAGACGATTATGCCAGACAGATGACGACAAAGCTGCAAAAATGGATGGATGATTAGCTGTATTTATGGTCTTGTGGTTGGTGATGGGATAAAGGTCACCTTGGATTTCACATCTCATGATAGGCATCCCCTTCTGAAAATCCTTCACAGAAAAGCCAAACGGGTCAAATTCAACTGAAACTTTATTATCTGTAGTGAATTTTCGAACAGACACTAAATTTTTAATTAAATTTGGAGCGTGAAGAACATTGTTTAGTACAAGAGGTGGGTGTGGGTTAGCTAAATGTGTGCTGCCAAGACCATGAATTGGAACAGAATGACCATTTCCTACAATGATGTTATTATCTTTGCTTAATTTAAAATAGGACGAGAGATTACCTTGCGAGGAAGTCATGTGAGAGGTGGCACCGGTGTCCATGTACCATGACGGGTTGGGTTGGGCAAGGTTGAGGGTGCTGAAAGCATTTTCAATATCTGTTGGACTGGTAGTGTTGGCATTAAAAGCAGCTTGCTGAGGTTTGGGGCCAAGAATTCCACCTTGTTGGGGTTTAGGACCATTAGTGGGTCTGTTCCAATTGGATGTTGGGTAAGGGCAAGGTGGGTAATTCCAAGGTCCCCATTGTTGCCAGGGAGGGTAATTCCATGACTGCCATTGTGGTTGTTGTTGTCCACGATTTCCTCTCCCAGAATTTCGGCCTCCACGGTATGGTTTCTTTCCTCTTTGACTGCGATTGTTGGACGAATGTGGTTGCGGGTTCGAAGCTGAATCTTGTTGTTTGATTGCAGGTTCGGTTGAAGGACCTTTAGCCAAGAGGGCGTCCGAGATAGAGGATGACTGTGTTTCGGGGGCTGCGCGCTGCATCATGGTGGTTTCCTCGAGTTCCAGTCTCGATCGGGCGACTGCAAAGGTGGGTAGAGGGTCGTGTTGCTGGATAAAGGTGACAAAACCAGCATATGAGTCTGTGAGTCCGGATATCATCTTGAGAACTAAACGTGTGTTGGTGATTGGAGAGTCCACGTTTGCGAGTTGATCCGAGGGAGTTTTAAGGCGGGTGCAGTAAGCTTTTGTTGATGGAAAATCTTCCAGGTTTATGTTACTGAATTGATTTTCCAATTGCACGGCACGAGAGTGTTTGTTGTCATGAAACATAGCGGTTATGCGCTTCCAACACTCTTCTGTAGTGTCGTCTACGACTAGGATGGATTGCAGAATATCCTGCGATACTGTTGCGTACATCCATTGCAACACTACTGCATCAAGGCGATTCCAAAGTTTAGAGTCGGCAGCGTTAAGTTCGGCTGATGCTTGTATGGTCTGGACTTCCGAAGGCGAAATAATGTGATCAAGAACGTTGTGAACGCGTGCCTGCACTTTGAATAGGGCAGACCAGGAGAGGTAGAGATTAGAATCATTTTCCAACGTCACCGGGATGATGGTTTTGACGTTGTAGATGGCGAAAACGGAGTGGAATTTGGATGTTGCCGCCTGAGAGGAGTTGGATTTTGAGGGTGACAAAGTTTCATCAGATGTTCGAGAGTGGGAGCTTTCTTCTGCCATGGTAGAACAGAAGGTGTACGGCGGCTGGAAAGATTTGTAGGGTTAGGAACGTGATAAATCTGATACCATGTAAGAATTGAATTCG